TGAAAAACTTTGCTTTTCGGAATTTAAAGAGATCTCATTTTATTTTGTTACTCAACAATCAAGATATTGCAGTAAGACAATTATTTCTTACAAAGTAAATTTTAACTTATAATATTTTTAGGTCATTTAATTTCGATCTTAGAACTCCATATATATTATATAAACTTATTATTTTAGCTGTTTGTTTGCTGACTAGGAATGCAGTGTAAATTAATATAATACATTGAAAATATTTTTTAGTTATGCCACTGAGCATATTATAACTGCAGGAGATTATCATTTTATGTTTGACTTGAGGTAAAATTAATTCAATTTAAAATCATAAGGCCACCAACAACAGAGCAAATGGTGGGCGGTTGTGGGGCTATAGTTGGTGGCGATAGTGGGTGGTGATTGACGGTGCCCAGTACTCTTGATCAGTGAGCGGTGGTGGCCAGTAGTGACCGGTATAACTATGGCGGTGGCAGCTAGCAGTGATTGGTGGTAATGGCGTGTTGGAGGTGGCCACCGCCGGTGACTAACAAGACTTCACACGAGAGATATATATTTGAGTGAATTGGAAATACATAGAAAATAAACAAAAAAGAGAATTTCAACAACATTAAAAATTTGCTTTGCATTTAAGTTTCTTCCAACTAAATAATGGAAATTTTAAGAATCTTGTTTTTGACTTGCATTACCCTAGTATTATTTGTAAAACAGCCTAAAGAATCCTATAAGCAAGGAAAGAACTTATGCATCCTGGACAAAAAGAATCAGTTAGGTAAGAAAATACATCTTCACCAGGAAAAAGTACTCAATAATCCAATTAAGCATATTCAGTCTTTAAATACAGATATAATTTCATGTACAGTACTTAATTAAATCCTCAATAAGCATATCCTCTTCAATAATTTGTTCCTGATTCTTTATTATCCAACTCCTGGCGTCCATTCAAGCTATACTATAAGTAAGACTCACAGCAAGAACATAAAAATAACAAATGGAAGCAAAGCTTAAGCGTAGAGGGTTGTTCTCAAGGAAGCTCTCCACATACTTTGGTCCTCCACCGAAGACTACTAAGCAGCAAACAAGTAAGGTTAAGTCGGCACCGCCGCCTCCGCCGCCACCGCCGCCACGGAGCTTTTTCGCCACCGGTGATTGGCTTACTATTACTATGACGACGAAAAATACTCGAGGCAGCGGCGGCGAAAGTGCAAATTGGAAAGGGCATGGTGAGAGAGCTAATGGTGCCATGATCCCTTATAGTGAAGTCGATGAGAAGGCCACAAGCTACATCTCTCATATGCAAGAGAGTTTCAGGCTTGAGAAAATGTACGTTAATTGATGTGATTAGAGGAAGTCGCCATACTAACTTGCCTGAATATTGTTGTTGTCAGTTATATGACTTATATATATTAAGTGGTCGTATAGTTAGCCTAACTATTTAGAGCTTTCTTTTTGTATTTTTTGTTGTTGGGTTGGCTCTGTTATACTGCTATTTGTATGGTGGATCATGTTCACATATGGAAGATATTGAGAAACATATCTCAGCACAGTGGAAACTCAGATCTAAAGGTTTTTTTATTTGTATGGTGTTCATGATAATGTGAATTGAAGTACTAGAGAAATAAAATACATGCAATAAAACAACAGATCAAAATATCTAAGAGATGTATTTTCTTTGACTGAATTAATTTTAAGTTTACTTCTTCTGTTTCACTTTACCCCTCAAATTTAAGGAAAAATTCTATAAGATGGTAGTGAGGCCTGCAATGCTTTATGGTGCCAAATGTTGGCCATTAAAAGAGAAACATAATACTAAGTTAAGTGTAGCAGAGATGAGAATACTAAGTTAAGTGTAGCAGAGATGAGGATGCTCAGGTGGATGAGTGGCTTTACCCTTAGAGATAGGAATGAAATGAGCATATACGTGAAAAGGTTTGAGTAGCTCCAGTAGAAGATAAGATTAGAGAGAGTCGTCTTAGATGGTTTGGTCACATAAAATGGCGGCCTTCCGATGACCAGATTAGGAGAGTAGAGGTATTAGATTTGACTTATGTTAAGAAAGGTAGGGGTAGACTTAAAAAGACTTGGTTAGAAAATATTAGGAATGACATTTCTTTATTAGATTTAAATGAGAATTTGACTTTTAATAGGACATAATGGAGAAAAAGAATTCATGTAGCTGACCCCACATAGTGGGATAAATGCTTGATGTTGTTGTTCTTCTTCTTCTGTTTCACTTTAAAAGAAAGCCAACAAACTGTTTATTGTTTGGATAAAATAACCTTATTAAATAGAGATAAACTTATAATGAAAGAATGAGTACAACATGTTATAACTAATTTATTGAAGATGAAAAATTAATTAATCTATGCAAGATCTTAATTAAATCATTAAGGGGTTATTTGATTTGCTGCATCAGTTAAATCATTAAGGGGTTGTTTGGTTTGATGCATTTAGGCTGGAAACTAAATCAAATGCAAGGGTTTTAAAAATTTTGAAGTTTGGTTTGTAGTAAAATAAATGCAAAGGAGTGCATACCAAAATATCACAAGTAGTGCATTTTGAGTGTATTTAGAATTCCTCATATTTTGATAGTTTCTAAATACACTGCAAGAGCACCGCCATTGCCATCGCCGCTACCACCTCCATCGCCATTGCTCAATCTTATTATAATGAGAAAAAGGTTGAATTGGTCTCCTAACCTTTTTTTTTTAAATCAAAATAAGCTCGACTATATAAAAATATAAATTTGATCATTTGACTTTTTAAATAGGGATCAAATTAGTCCTTATGTGAGATCATTTAGATCCTTGATTAAAAGAGTAAATGGAATAAAATGAAACTTTAAATAGTCAAAAACAATTTCATGTCCTTCATAATAAATTAGGGGTTCATATTGATCTTTATCTCTTAGCATGATGTAACAATTGTCTAGGATTAAAAAAAAATATTGGGCATGATAATAAATTTTAAACGACTTAATTAAGCTTTAGCTTGGGACATCTTTTTTATTGTTTTTTTAAATATTGTTTTGGAACAAAACTTTTTTGTATTAAAAAACTGCTTTATAAAGTAATAAAAAAATTGTCCGGAAGCTTAATGTTTTGTTTGTTGCGACTTTCTTTCTATTTCTTAAAGCATTTTTTAGTATAAAAAATTAAATTTTTTGTACTAAAAAGTTTCTTTATGAAGCAATAATAAATCCATCTCAAACGAAGTGTAAATCAGCTTTAAAAATTTTGAATGGCCTATTAGAAATTGCTGCCCGGCATGACCATATTACCATGGAGAATTCCTTAAAATATTTAAATTAGAATTCATTTTTTAGTAGTCTTATTTATCAAAGCTATATTAATAATTACATTTCATCCTATTCTCCAACTTTTAGTAATAACACAGCATATCTGCGAGATGCGCACCATTCTATATAATTGGAGAGATTATTGGGTTCGGAGATCGGACACATCTTACGTTCGGTACTTCATAATACCGAGTAGTACTGAGCTCAGTACTGAGCAGTACCGAGTTCAGTACTTCACCGTACCAAGCAGTACTGAGCTCGATACTAAGCAGTAACGAGCTCAGAATTACTTGTTACTTCACAGTACCGAGCTCAGTACAGAGTAGGGGATGATGTGGCGCATTTTCATTGGGCTCTGGATGTCGTCCGGTGTCTGATCGAACCCAATAATTTCCCTTATATATAGGTTTTACTTTCGTATAAAAATATGAAGTGATATAAAGTGATTAATTACAGAATCGAATACGATCAAATAAAGTTATTTTGATGATTATCAAACTCATTAAGATGCTCTCTGGCTGTAATTATTTATAATACACAGTAACCTAAGTATTGTGTAAAACAAATTTAGCATATTTAAAGTGTTTAGAGCTATTTGATTGACTTTAAGAGTGTAAACGAGTTAAGTTGAGCTCAAATCATAGCTAATTTGAACTTAGCTCGCTAATCTCATAGTAGGCCCAAATTTGGGCTCGCGCTTGAGTCAAGCTCTTATATTGAGCTCAAACTCAACTTGTTCTGTCTTTGAGAGGCTAAAGCTCTTACTCGCAAGCTAAAGTTCATATCCAAATTCTTGAAACATTCAATGACAAAGGAGCGAGGAAGTTGCAATAGGAGCTCGATTGAGAATGAGAAGTCGTGATGTGAGCTTGCCAAAGAAGACATCGACGTTTTCGACAAGTCGTGATGGGAGCTAGATGGAGAAGGCATCGACGTGGCCAATGATCTTTGAAGAAGAGGAAATACTCAACATTTAATATTAAGCCTAAAGCAATGTGGAAAAATGGGATTTAGAGCCTAAGATTTATTTGAGTTAGCTCACGAGCCAATGAGCTGAGTCTTGTTAAGCTCATACTTTAGCTTGTATAATATAAGAGCTTTTGTTTGAGCTAGATCTCAATCTTACAACTCTTGGACACTTCATCCAGATAAGCTCGACTTATGAGCATGTTAACAAGTAAAATGAATTTCAACTAAAGAGAGGATTCCAATGTATTTGAAGTTTATCTAATTTGAACAAATTTCAAACGCATCCAAAATAAACTAAAGATAGGATTCCAAATACTTATACAAATTATTTTGGATCTATTTTTTCATAAAATCAAACACCTAAATTTTCAGAATCCCTTCATTTCTATTGGAAAACAATAATTATTGATGAACTAACAAAAATGAGTTCAGTTCCTTCGGTGAGCTTACTCATCACTCAATTTTAATATCGTTAAGATACTCAAATACTCAAAGCGTATTAAATGATTAAAGAGAATCATTCTAAACTATTTGTGGAGTCCTTGAGATTTTGACAAAACAATCAAAATATTTTATCAAAAGTTTATGAATATGCCTTCATTCAAAACCTAAAAGGTCTTAAATGAAGGGGATCTTATAAATTTGAACTGAAGAACCTTCATCACTAACTGTATTGTGCAAACAATCTCTGGGAAGTCGATGCAAGAAGAAATTTACTTCAATTTATACATGCATGCCTCCAAACATGATCTTTTTTGACGTTACAGCAACAAAAAGGAAACAATCTGGTCCATTAGTCAAACAAAACATAAGAACACAAAGCTGAAATCTGAAGAAACCAAAATAATTACAAGCATCTAATGATCTACTGCCATGAAAAGGGAATGGACTCAGATGCACAATCTGAGGCCTCTTCATCCCCAACCTGAAACATACTTTGACAATGGAGATCAGTTTCAGCAGAATCTGGAACCAGAACAGTTCCCACATGGTCTTCCTCCATTGGTGAATGAGAGTATCCACTGAGGCTCACACCATAGTGTAGATTAGAGAGCAAAGGCTGGCCCATTGGAATCCTATCCGCTGGAACCATATGGCTTTGGTTGATACATGAGGTCTGAGCTGAGGATGACAGAAGAGAGAGAGCACAGTCAGAGTCGAAGACCGGAGATAATCTATCTGAGAACAATATACTATTGGTGCTGCTCTCTGCTGCAGAAGAGATGGTATTGAGGAGTGGCTGGCAGACAGTAGCTCGCTCAATTGCTATCCTGCTGCTGTGGGCTATGTCACGGCCGTCGTGGAGGAAGAACTGCTTGTTTTCTTCATAGTTCGGATCGAAGACGGTAGCAAAATGATGTGAGGGAGGCTGCGGTACTCTGTCGACAAACTGAGTTATCGGCGGTGGGAGCAGGGGGTAGAGTGTGTCTTCCTCGATTTTGACACTGCTATTCCAAGCTGCCTCCGTTCCAGCACTTGGAAAATTTTGGGGGTAGGATGAAAACCTGGATGCTGAGGTGCAGGAAGTATGTTACCGTTAAAATATTTAATCCATAGCTTATTGTAAGGTGAGTATGGAAAACAGCTTTTTAATTTAAAATTTTGAATTTTTATATTAGAAAGCTGCCTTAAGAAGCAGTAAGAAAGCCGTCCCAAACAAAGCCTAATACCTAGGCCTTCGACCACTTAATCCAAATGCAACAAATTAAGTAAACCATAAATGCATCATCTTATGCATTACTTGGTTTAGTAGACGTTTCATCCACTTTTGTGAGCGATTCCCCTTCTTAAGGGATACCATATATTTCTTCTAGACTTTTAAGACCTCTGATATGAGACTAAACTCAATATTTCCTCCAAAGAGTTGGTCAAGCTCAGAAAACATACCATGTTGGTTTGAAAACAAGTTCCCAGAGTTTGCCTCCACCTGCGGCTTTCTTCGACGGCGATTATGACCATCAAGACGTTTTCTGCAACTTCGCTTGACCTCATCAAACTCCATCAGCAAGTGGAATCTGGCAGGGAAAGAACGAAAGCAGATATGAATTTGTTGTTTCGAAAAGATTAATGTAGAGTTAAATAGCTAATCATATTTTCATAAACCAATTGAAATACATGATTACTACGGAATTATTCAGAAACAGGCCCAGTAGGGAATAACAGTAGATTCTTATATTTTAAACGCCAAGTTGATACATGTGAAGGCAGAGCTCGATGTTTGAGATTTAGTTTTAAGGGAAACATTTCATATTGCGTTACAAGAAACAGGCAGGAAAATTGTAACATTTCCCACCAGGTACTAAAAATATTTGCTTCATGAATGATAGTAATGCTACAATTTAAATCTTTCATTCAGAAAGAAGAAAATCAAATGAAGGAAGCAAATGCTAAAGATAAAGGTTTCGTTTGGGATAATTTTCTTATTGCTTCTTAAAGCAGCTTTCTAGAGAAAAGTTTTTATTTTTATACTAAAAACTACTATAAGAAGCACTAAGAAAGCAGTCCCAAACGAAGCCAAAGAATCGTACCAATGAAATATTACAAAATAAAGAATGTAGACATAAAGTACATATGCATAATCACTTTGATTTTGGTTTTCCTTGATTTGTCTTATTTCTAGTTTATCTTCTAATTTCAGGTTTCAGTTTCCTGAAAACAATTTCATACATTATTTTTCTGATATGATCTTTCTTTCTGATAGTATGGGATTATTACAAATTGTTTAGTTGGTTTAATTATTATACTAAAAATCCTACCTGCTGTTAGATACCTCATGAATATAGAAAAGTCTACAAACTTGGAAGAAGTTATGAATGTGCTAAAAATCCCATTGGATGCTTGCATATTTTATAATAAAATATTAGATAAGATATGACCAAAAATGGCATAGTAGTTTAACAACACCAGCTGAATCATAAACAAATGAAAATTTAATAAGATTCATGTAAGGAAATTAGAGTCAAGTAGTGCTAACTTGTAGCTAGGGAACCAAACATACAATTAATAGTGCCAACTGGTACTTCGAAATGAAAGCAAGAAAGAATAAAAAGCTAAAAAATATTAAGAACCAGCCCAACTCATGGTTTGAAGTGAAATTACTGTTAATTTCCACACTTCATTAAGGCTTCGTTTGGGACGGCTTTCTCACTGCTTCTTAAAGCAGTTTTTCAATATAAAAAATTTATTTATTGTACTAAAAAGGTGCTTTAAGAAGCAGTAAGAAAGCCGTTCCAAACGAAACCTAAATCAATCAAGAAGAGGAAACATGAGGTTAGATTAGCTAATTAAACAATTTAACATTGTAAGCTTCGATGGAGTGTAAAGGCTCATTGGGTTTCTTGAAGATAGAAATCAAATTTTAAAAGCAATTATGATGAAATCTATTAAATCTATTATTTGGTTAGATGTAATTAAATATCAATATTGGTTTAAATCTTCACAAATCTTTTTAAAACTCCTTGAAAGTAATAACTTAATCTTTATATTCAAAATAAGCAAACAAATTATCATTTTTATTCTTTTTTGCAATTGACCAAATGAGCCTTAAGCAATATCCAAAATTAAGAAAATTTGATTATTATAACACAGAGAGGTGGTGGGACAAACAAAAGAGCAAAAAGCTTACTATCTCCCGTGAAAAAATAAAGAGATTTTATTGTTCCAAGGTAGATAAAACAACAACGGGGAAAGAATGAAAAATAGAGGTGGACGAGATTTGGCAGAGATTTATTGTCTCTTAAAGAGAAAATACAGTGTCGGGAGTGAACAAACATGCAACAACAAACAAAAGTAAAAGGTTCACTGCGAAAGCACTCTTCATCTGAAAGAACTGGTGAAAGAACCCATGGCCTATTAGTTTAAAAAGAGTACTCTATCTCAAAGTGATGAGCTTTAGCAACATATTTTATGATTCATTTAAAAGAAAAAGAAGAACTTGAGGATTAAGCTAATTTAATTGTAATGATCTGTGAAGAGTTTTGGATTAAATATCGAATTTTGCTTATGCACTCAAACATCACAAAAAATAAAAAATAACAGAAGTTTTTAGCAAACCAAGCTAAGCAACAGCTCACCAATAATCCTTATAAATTGGCCACGAAATAACAGATACAAAATAAAAAAAATATGGAAAAGTGAAGTGCAATAAAAAAAAAATCTTACTAAGGGGTAGAAAACGGATGCTTTGTTTGCATCTGAAAGAGTATTAATGGTTGGTTGGTTGCTTTAGAATGAGTACTATTCAGTCGAAATTGCTGGCAAAAAGGTCAAAATAGATGATAATACGTGATATTTTTCTGAAAAGAAGCTATGTGGATCACATGTTGCCACATCATTTGATCTTTCTTTTCAACCACTCTATTTTGATAGAATGAAAGTTGTTATCTTTCTCAAATTAGCCCTACCAAATCCAAAGCTAGCACGAAATATAAAGCATTAAGTGGCGGCATAATCCTTGTCAACATCCTGTCCTGAAAATGCCAACAAGCTGGAGCAGATAAGGACAAGTGATTCGTAATGCCAAACCCGAGATCGAATAGATAGCTTAATTTACTATAATAAGTAAATGGCACAATAAGATTAATATCTAACCATACATCTTGCAAGAGATTAAAGAAACAGAAAGCATGAGGTTCTCTCAGTACAATATTATAGTCATGATCGTACTCACATGAAAATAACAGCCCCTCCATAATTAAATTGTTAATTTTCAGAAAATCAAGTGAAAAAAAACAATAATAAATAGAGCCTTAGCAACAAAAACTTCACCTTCCTTATTTAGATTTCAGCAAGCAAAGCTGTTGGTCTCATATCAAAGTTTGAGAAATTTCAAAATTAAATATCAAGAGGATGAAAGGATAAGCTTAAACTGTAGAAGCAAAAAAAGAGGACTGATAAAGCAATCAAAATCATAAGAAAAAAAGGTATTAACAAGACCAGATTTTTTCAGCTTTCTACTCTAGCAATCCTGTTCCATTACCTGCTACATTGTTGGCAGAATCTCTGCTCCTGGCCTCCAACCATCACTACAGGAGTCTTGGAATGAAGCTCGCAGACCTTATGTCTCCGGTGATACTCCTTACAGCTACTAAGATCAGATTTACAGTCATCAACAAGGCAGAATACAGTTTGGCTGCTGTTACCCGGTGCTCGTTGCCTCTTAGAAGAGCTTGCAGTCGAAGCTCTCCTTTGTTCCTTCCAGTTTTCAGCCAATCCCAAATCGCCCAAACCCCCAAGTTTGAGATCAACAGAGCAATCCAGGCTTAAATTTGCCTCACCATCATTTTGCTCTAATTCAGGCAACTCACATAGAGTCATTTTCGAATCCCAATCCATGAAAACAGCTCGCTTTGGGGGGGCAGAAAAGAGAGGTTTTAGAACTTGGCTTGTGCGCCTCGAAACTGGGAGTTTAATAGGAGAAGAGAAGGGAAGGGTGGAAGAGTACAGCAAAAACAGCAAACCATTTCCGAAGAAATCTTTGTACAGTTCAGTAAGCCAAACAGAGTAAAAGCGGTTTGAGGATCAAAAGCAGACACTTTTGTTATAGGAAACTTGGTGAGGAAAAAGGTGAAGTAAATAAAATAGCGAATATGGAGGGCAGCGCAGACCGTAGAGCAGACAGTACTTATTAGACAGAGAACTGCGGGAACAGTGAGCAGGAGGATGGAGAAGGGAGAGGGGGAGAGAAGGGAAGATATTTGGGGCTTTCAAGTGTTCAAATCCTGACAGTGATTCCTTCAGAAACGCAATAAATGTGAGGGAGTGGGGGAAAGTGAGAGCCATCCATGGAAAAAACAAATAAAATGCAGTTTAATAGAGATGAGTTGGGATTCGAGGAAAGAGAATCGCTGAGATTAGCGCAGCAATTAGCTATTAAAATACTAAGATTTGATAAGCATGTGGCGTAATTATAGATGAGGAAGCTGAGTGGGATAAAGAGATGAGGGTGAAATGGATGGTTTGTTTTGGTGTTCGTTCAAGGAATTGGTGTAATTGCCATGAGAAAAAGGGGGAGGAAAAACAGTAGAATTGAGAAAAGTGCTGGCTGGTGATGGTGCAGCTCAAGGAAAGAGAAAGGAGAAAGGCTCTTGTAGCTTTCAAAATTCTAGAAAAAGCTTTCGCTCTTCAAAGAATCTATACAAAATAAATGCATTTGGATTCACCTTAATTAGATGAATTATTTAATGACTTTTCAAGCAAAAAGTGTTCCGCACATGTGGTGTAAATATATTTTATGCTGTCTCTTGGCATCCTTCAATTTCTTCTCTTTGAGATCTCTGATCTAACGGGGGGAAGAAATTTATTAGATATATTGGAAGATCAAAATACACTTCCTTACCTTCCTCATAATGCCCCTGTTTCTAACTTTATTGATGATCAGTGTTGGAATTTTCCTACTGCTCTCCCTCAACAATTGAGAGCTGTTATTCTTAATATAGATATTGTTACTAATAGTTGTATGTCTTGGAAAGACAATCCTAAACTAATTTTAAAAAAATTTCTTGAAGGATTTTACCTAAAACAGCAAACTGTCTCATGGAATGCTTTCATTTGGCAAAAAAATTTTTCTCTTGGATATTTTTTATTTGCTTGGTTGGCATTGGTTGGAGGATTAAAAACAGCTGATGCATTAACTATAAGAAATATCACTTCACAATCACTTTGCTCCTTCTATTTTGAGTTTGAGGAAACTCATTTTCATTTGTTTTTTGAATGCCAACATTTTTTTGGCATCATTTATTCGTTTCTCTCGTGAGCTTCAAACTTCTTCCTTATGCCAACTCTTCGAAATCATTTCTCGGGAGTTTCTTCTTTGGCGGCACTTTGAAAAGGGGTTCCCTGATAAGTTTATCTCCTAGGTTAAAGCTTGTATCATGGATGTCCATTTCTCCATTTATATCAATGGGACGCTTGAAGGTTTCTTTATTTCTACTTCTGGGCTTCATTATGGCTGCCCACTCTCCGCCTACCTCTTCAATGTGGTCATGGATGCCCTTTCCTCTAGCTTTGATCAGGCTACCAATCACTACAACTTTTTGGGATGGGCTCGGGCCTCTCTTCCATTTCTCACTTAATGTCTGCTGATGACCTGCTTGTTTTTGGTAAAGCCAATATAAGTAACGCTCACACCCTCAACTCCTTATTGCAGCAGTTTGCATCTGTTTCGAGGCTATATGTCAATCCACTAAAAAGCACTATCATACTCTCCAAGAGCACTCCCAGGCTTCCCACATCTGTGACACCCTTAATATCACCCAAACCTTTTAGCCCATCAAATACATGGGTTTGCCTATCTTTTTACATAAAATTGAGGCCTGCTGATTTTCAGCCACTAATCAATAGAATTGCAAAATCTCTGGATGGTTGAAAAGCAAAAGTTCTTTTCTTCACTGGCATAATCTAATATCTAAAATTTACTCTTTGCAACACCTTGGCATACTAGATTAGAGGCTCTATCCTCACTAAAGGCTGCTTCAAACTATTAACTATCTGTGCCATAGATTTCATTACTTTGATAACGTAAATCTGAGAAAAATTCACACCATTGGGTGGAAAGACACCTGAAAACCCAAGAGTCATCATGGTATGGGTATCCCATCCATTGACTCCCTCTACCATGCTTTCTTTGCTTCACTCGTTTGGAGGTTCCTTAACTCCAATAATTTGCTCTTTGACTGGTGGAGCTTTAAGTATCACACTCTATGGAAATCCCATGTGCCTAATAAGTCGCCTTACTGGAAGTTGTTGTGTAATGTTGCAGGTAACATTAGACATTTTATCTCTCTTTCTGTTCACCCCCATAGTAAACCGTCCCTCTCTGGGACCCGTTGTACAATGGTCTCTCTATTACTGACATACTGGGTAGCCATTCATCGGTTAACTGCTACTCTACTCTCTCTTCCTGGGAGGTTTCTAAGGTTATTGTCGGGGTAATTCAGGCTCTCCCAACTAGCTTTGACACCACTATTACAATTAGGACCCAAGTTATCAGTTATACCTATTGAACACCAATTTATGCATCATATCTAGCTAGGTATACATAAGCCTGATTTTAAGAGCTTTCATATGCAATTCTTCCCATCCCATGAGGTCGTATCTTGGCACAAATATGTTTGGTATAAAAATTTGGCTCTTCTTTTTTTTGCTTTTACCTGATTGGCTTTTAAAGGTGGTCTTAAAACAGTGGATTATGGCTACTTGTGGGATTCACATTTCGATTTTGTGTTGTTTTTGTTTTACTTAGTTGGAATCTCACTCTCATCTCTTCTTTGAATGACATTTCACTTTCACCATTATCAAAAAATTTCTCCCTTGGATGGGTGATATCCTTAGAAAGCCAAATCTCCATCATTTGTTTGGTAGCATTTTCGAACAAAGGCTGACTGACTGTTGGATTAGCTACTACATGTTATGTTCGTGTGTTGCCATTTATCATATTTTAAGAGCTAGGAATGAAAGAATTTTTTGTGGAACTTATGACTGTCATGCAACTTTGATTGTTAAAATTAAGAAGGTTGTTATGCAAAAGATATCATTATGTAAGGATTTTCAAGCTCTATATCTCATTTGCCATAATTGGTGTGGTTACTGGATGGCAGTATTTTCCCATGAAGTTTTGCCCCTGACCCTTTTGGTTTTCTCCTTGTGTCTCACTACCATGATTACTATTATTTTTTAGAAGGACAATGATAAATGTTGATCTCCTCCAGCCCCCCCCTTGGACGGTCTTTTGGTAACCAGGGGTTCTGCTCATGGTTGACACTTTTGAAGCTACTCTCGATTATGTCTCTCTTCTTAACATCCAGACTCCTTCAATGCTTTGTTTGCATTATTTGTTTAGCTTAGCTCTTTGTAGCCTTTTTTTCTTTCTACTACCTGGATCCTCTTTTTGTCGTTGAGTCCCTGGGTTTTATTTTTCTTTTTACTCATTGCACACTTGTAATTTGTTTCTTTTATCAATGATACGGGCATTTCCCCCAAAATTCCAAAAAAAAAAAGCTTTTTCCTTATGTTTATGAATTGGAGAAATATGAAAAAAAAATGCTAAGAACTACTTTTACTTGGCTACTACTTGTTTACTTTATTACATTTGGAGAGAAAAGAATGCTAGGAGGTTTGGTGTGGATATTGAAAATGCCTTTATTATATGATTTAAAATTAAGAAGGTTCTATTCCTTAAGACTGTTGCATGGAGAAATGTTGGACTCACAGAACAACTTATCACATAATTTTATTTTGGAGGTTCTTTTTTTGTCAAGCCTACTCATCCTTTATCTATAAGGTTGGGACCGACTATTTTTTTCTTTTTTTTACATACTTCTGCTACTTATTGGAGTTACTGGTGAATGTTGTTAAAATGAGTTGTTTGATTTGGATTTACACATCAATGTTGTTGCTCAAAGGTTTTGATGGATGATGATGAATATACATTCTTACATTCATGTCCCCTTGGAAGGTATAATAACCACTAAAATTTTAAAATATATGTTTTGACCTACAACAGTTAAATAATATTTCAGGAATTATTATAAGTCTAATTTGCAAACCGTCTTGACATAACATAGATACTTTTATTTGTTGCAATACATTAAAAATGTATGTGGATATGTATGTTGACGTTGTTTTCACCTACACCCTGGGTCAAGGGGGGTTGACTTGGTCAAATTGACCAAGTCAGACCCGAAGACCCCTCCCATTGAGTTTAGTGGGTCGAACCAAATCTGTGAAACCAAGACCCAGGCCCTGGGTCAACCTTGTTGACGAGGTCAACCTAGGTTGACCAAAATAGCCCAAATGGCCCTAATTTTAATTTTGATCCATTCAAACTCATTCTCCTGCTCAACCCCTCACCCCTTGGACTTATTTGACCATGTTGACTAAGTCAACACTTAGCTTGGTCAAACCAAGCCCTATTTGGCCAAACTTGATCTATTTAGGTCAAATTCTCCATATTCAATGCATTTAAATACTTCCTAATCATGCATTGACCCAAACCACAACCAATAAACTTAATTCCCTCATAATTAACCTTAGATATAATCCTATACGCTCATCAAAGACTTGGGACTATAAATAGGGCTATTAGGATTACTTGTTTAGGACTTTTTACATTTTTTTCTCCCCCTAACCTCTCTAAGCTTGAGAACTTTCATTTGAAAGCTCTCACAACCTCCCTCCACATCTCTCTACCAAAACCCACTATCAAGACCCCGCCGGCGGTGAGATCTCTGACGAACTAAGACCAAAACTCTTCCAAGGTGATTTCCTGTCAATTCAGTGCGTTTCAAAATGCAATTTCTTCTACAAATAGGAGTGTGGATAGTCTACAAGTGCAATAAGCCCAAGATCTCTGGAATCCATCCATTGGATTAGGTAAAAACTCAAACCCAAGTTTAGGATACTTAGAGTTAATTAGCTTTGCATTAAGCACATTTTAGACCATGAAAATTATCCCCCATGAATACTCTTCATTAGTGTAACTAGAGTTTAAAATTTCATCGCATTTTGTCAAGTCGTTTGAGAGAACGATTTAAAAAATGCAACATATGGTGTCTCGGTGGCCTATGTTAGGTGTACGAGATCTCTACCGTTGATCACTCGATCAACAATGGAGATCCCGTCGTTTCGTGGCTTCTTCTGAACCGCGTAATCGCTCTGATGGTTAGATCTCGCTTACGACGATATCCTGGGAATCCGTTATAAAAAATGGAGGATCGAATAGCCACGGAGCCCCGCCTACGTGGTTAAGTGGCGGGCACTGATTTTCGCGCCGCTGTAATCATTATCAATAATTGCATAGTACCATAGTCATTAGCAAAGATTGCAAATTGCATCTGTGGCTTTAAATCAACCAATTAAGCCTCGCCACGTAGCCTCCCACCATCGCTATAAATAAAATTTTACTTTTCAATTAATTTTAATTATTTTTTAAACTAATTTCTTTAAAAATTAATGTACATTTATTTTTAAAATTATTTAAAATTCAAAAATTACATATCATATATCAAAATTTTTAGAAAATTATTCTCCTTAATTTAAAAATAAAATTAGTTTAAAATATTAAGTATATTTTAAGTT